TTAAATGCTAAGTCTGATTTTCACAGAAACTGTCCTGGGGCTTTGATGCAGGAGGGAACCAACTGTAGATATCAGCTGCATATATGGCAGTGGTTCTCAACCTTGGCTGCACATGGGAATCACCTGGGAATCTTTTTAAAATCCCGATTTCTGGGCCTCATCCTCCGGAAATTCTGTTTCTGTGTTACTCATGTTGTGGTCCCACCCCATAACAAAGAAACAGAATTTCCGGAGGATGAGGCCCAGAAATCAGGATTTTAAAAAGATTCCCAGGTGACTCTCATGTGCAGCTGAGGTTGAGAACCGATGCTCTAACATCACGAGAAGTTTCACTCACGCACGTTCAGCGGAACAGGTACAAGGTGCTCAGCCTCTACATCCAAGGCATCAGCTAGTGGAAGGCCCCGGGGTACGCCCTCAGCATCGGACTCACGGAGGCTCCCATTCTGGATGTCTTTCTTTTCATTCTTTCTCTTTCCTGCCGCCTTTGTATCTGTTTCGGTAGGAGTAAGCTTTTGTCCTCTCTTCTGTTTTGCAAGAACTTCATCATATAACGTTCCTTTCCTGAAGAGCCAGAAGGAGAGGAAAAGTACTGTAATAGCGACGGGAGGAATAAGAACAATAAGATCTGTTGGCTCCTGAAGCCCCATCATGCTTTTGTTAATGTGACCCGATGAAGCCCTGCACCTCGGGGGGAAGAGACCGGGGAAGACGCAGGGGCGCCGCGACAGCCCGACCGCCAGCTCCGAGGTCTCGGTAAACATTTTACCCGGAGAGAAAAAGGAAGTGGGGGGGGAAGGAGAGAGAGAGAGAGAGAGAGAGAGAGAGGTATTTGCTTGACACGTGGTCTGAATCTCTCTTTTTATGTGTTCCTTTTAAGTTGAACCAAAGGAAATCACAGGTATTTGGCCCCTGGTGACCTGAGAAAATGGCAATTTCATACGGTTCAAACTCTGGGGCTTTCGTGTAAGTCACTTCGGGGGCGCTGAGCTCACTGAGTCAGGATGTGGGAGTGGGGCTCGGTGATCTGCACTTTTAGCCAGTGCACCCGGGGCGGGGGAGTTGGGGGAGGGAGTGAGCATATGCACAGTGAGAGCATTCAGACTCTGTGTTTTTAGTCAAAGACATGGTTCTCTTTTTAATGCATATTTGGGACTGAAAGAATTAGTAAGGATCAGCAGTCATGGGGAGTGAAGGAAGGGGGGCCGGGATGTTTCTGTGCCCGCAGACCCATTTGCAGGACTCGGGGATGATGCCTGGAGCAGAGGGTGGGGCCGGCTTCGGGTTGTGTGCTCCTGGGCCCCCTCTACCCCTCCCTGAGCCCCAGTTTCCGCGTCTGGGAAATGGGTGTCGTCCCAGGGCTCAGGGAACCTCGGCCAGGATGGGGTCGGGACTGAACCCCACAGCCTGGTGCCGGCAACAGACACGGGCACAGCGCAGCGTGACGGCGTTCATTCCTCCTCTCTCCTCCTCCCGGCGGGACCCGGGACTGCATGCCAGCCGCGCGGACCACAGGCGGGGCCTCCCCTTCTGCTCCTCTGGCCTCCTCTATGTGGAGGCGCCCCCTGATGGCACCCCTCTGTGCTGCGCTGTCTGTCCGCCCCCCAAACTTCTGAGCTTCCTGCTGTGCCAGGCTCTGAAATGGCCTGGGGTGGGAGGGTCTCATGGCACGAGGAAGCTGGGGTCCAGGGACCCCGAGGCTGGCCAGCAGGGTCTCAGCTACGCACAACCAGGGGCTCCGCTGCCTGCAGGTGGAGGGGGAAGCTACCCTGGCCCTGCAGGGAGGGGGCTGGCCCGAAGGCACCAGCCCTGGAAGCCAGGAGCGTGACTCCAGAGCTCCGGCTCCTCCCAGCCCTAACGGGGCCGACTCCCCAGACCAAAGATGGGGCAGCCAGGGCCCCCCTCTTGCAGCCCGAGTCCATCCCGGGGACTCTGAGTTGCTGCTGGTTGAGGAACAGCTAACGCTCACAAAATATTCCAGTGTGAGGGGCCATTTGATAGTCCCATTTCACAGATGAAACGAGAGAGGCTCAGGGAATAAAACGGTGGTGAGCGCACGATGCAGCGTGCAGGTGATGTTGTAGAGCTCTACGCTTGACACCTGGGTGGTTTTAACAGCCGGGGTCACCTCAGTAAATTCAGAGGAAAACAAGAAAACCCGCCCCTTGCCAAGATGACACAAGTAACCGGCTCCTCCCGTCCCTCGGCACCTCGGCACCCCATTCTCGCATCCGTCTTCTGACTCAGGCTGCTGTGTGCCTCCCAGGAAGGCTCCTCGGGCGGTCTGTGGTGAAGGCCCACCCAGGCCCCAAGGTGGATCCTGGCCCTTCAGCAAGGGAGTCGGGGAGGCACCGAGCAAAGCATGTGAGCAACTATTCAGAGGAAAACAAGAAAACCCGCCCCTTGCCGAGATGACACAAGTAACCGGCTCCTCCCCGTCCCTCGGCACCCCATTCTCGCATCCGTCTTCTGACTCAGGCTGCTGTGTGCCTCCCAGGAAGGCTCCTCGGGGCCCGGTCTGTGGTGAAGGCCCACCCAGGACCCAAGGTGGATCCCGGCCCTTCAGCAAGGGAGTCGGAGAGGCACCGAGCAAAGCATGTGAGCAACCGACCCTGGGTCTGTGAGGTTTCTCAGAGCCGAGGGGTGGACTCCAGAGGCCAGACCAGGCCCCCAGCCCCTTCTCCCTCAGCCCCAGGAGTCCAGGCCCCCAGCCCCTTCTCCCTCAGCCCCAGGAGTCCAGGCCCCCAGCCCCTTCTCCCTCAGCCCCAGGAGTCCAGGCCCCCAGCCCCTTCTCCCTCAGCCCCAGGAGTCCAGGCCCCCAGCCCCTTCTCCCTCAGCCCCAGGAGTCCAGGCCCCCAGCCCCTTCTCCCTCAGCCCCAGGAGTCCAGGCCCCCAGCCCCTTCTCCCTCAGCCCCAGGAGTCCAGGCCCCCAGCCCCTTCTCCCTCAGCCCCAGGAGTCCAGGCCCCCAGCCCCTTCTCCCTCAGCCCCAGGAGTCCAGGCCCCCAGCCCCTTCTCCCTCAGCCCCAGGAGTCCAGGCCCCCAGCCCCTCCTCCCTCAGACCCAGGTTCAGTTGCACACATGCTTTGCTCAGTACCTCCCTGACTCCCTTGCTGAAGGCCCGTGTCCACCTTGAGTCCTGGGTCGGCCTTCACCCCAGACGGGGCCCTGAAGAGGCTCCCGGGGGGGCACACAGAGAGGACAGAGCTGCGGACAAGGACGTCGTTCCCTCCGGGAAAGGGTAGGAGCCATGGAGGAAGCCGGTTTGAGATCTTCACTTGGAGGGACAGTGTTATGGCAGTCAGGGCCCCCTCCTCCCGGCCCAGAGGTGCCACAGCTCTCTCCAGAGGCAGAAGGTGGATGTGCCATCATCGCCGCCGCGTCCCTCCCAGCATTTCGCTGGAATCGTGGGGGCTGAGGTGTTTTCCAGAGCGTGGGTGTGAGGGGGCGGGGGGTGTAACTCCAGCTGGGCCAGAGCGCCACCGAGATCCAAGCCCTTGAGTTCCGGGAACTCCAGGGCGGTCGGCTTCCAGGTTTGGGATCTTTGCTGATCTGGAGGCCTGGCCCAGGGTCCCACCTTCCTAGCAGCTCCTCCCACCGCCCCTCTCAGGACTGGCCACTCTGAGGGGTGGACACTCGGATGCTGGGTGTGGGGGGGGGCTCCCCGCTGCTGGGCTCTCTCCCTCCCACCCCTCTGCCTTCTTCCCCGTCCCTCCGCCCTCTCCCCCATCCTCCCCTCTCTATCCCTCCTCCCTCCTTTCTCTCCTCTCCTTTTCCTCCTCTTTCTCTTCCCACTCTCCGCCTACCATTCTGACCGTCCTGACCTCATGCATTCATTCAACACGTACGCATTGAGCACCTACTATGTACCGCACCCCGAGGAAACAGAGTCATGAACAAAACAAGTGGAGATGGCTGCCTGGGTAGGACTAACCAGGGAGACGCCCATTATGTAAAAAAGATGATAAATGGGCAAATTATGCTAGTACTTTATGTGGGATAAATGCCCAGGAAAAGAGAGAAAGTGGAGGAAGGTAGAGGGGGTCAGGGGTGGGGCAGGCTTCATGTTAAACAGGGGGATCAGGTGAGCCTACCCCCTCCCTTTCTCTCTCCTCTATTGCTCAGTATCTACCTGTCCCAAAGCACCCCCCACCCCCCACCCCCTCAGGGCGCCTTGCAGAGAAATCATTTGCCTGCACTCAAGTATTTAACAGAACACAGACATCCTCAGGTTACTTCCCTGGGCCCCTGATCTCTCTCATGATAAAATATTAAGGCACTAGAATAGGTCCCTGAAATGGTGCCGCTGTAATCAGAACAGCTCCAGTGAACGGGCAGCCCGCTCGCCACGCCTGCTGTCCATCTCCCGTCTCCTTGCTCCTCAGGGTCAGCCAGGCTCTGCGTGTTCCAGCCCGCGTCTCCTCCGGCCCACGCCTTCCAGGCTCAGGCTCAGGCTCAGAGCTCACTCTAGCCCGGGAGCACCCAGATGTGACCTGCCACCCAGACACCAGACACCGTGGCCAGAAGTCCCCAGTCTGTGCGTGCGGTGTGTCCCTCACAAGTGCCAGAGCTGCCCCTGCCCCTCCCCTGCTCACAGCCCTCCCCTGGCTCCCCAGAGCCCCCAGGACAGAGCCCTAGCCGCTCAATCTGGCATTCAAAACCCTGCCGGGTGGACCTTGCTATGCACCCCACCCCCACACATCCCTGTGTCTCACCATTTATGCTTCCACCTGTACTTTCCTGACTGGCCAGGACATGCCTTGATTGGATGCCCTCTCTGCACCCCTGCCCTTACTCTGGCTAACTCTTCCAGCACATCACCTCCTCCAGGAAGCCCTCCCTGACTCCCCAGCTGGGTTGGTGCATCCTCGAACTGGTCTGTGGCCCTCTGTTTACACAGCTGTCTCCTCCACCAGACTGGCATCCCCTCAAGGGCTGGGTCCAGGTCTGAGTCATCCCCATGCCTGGCATCGCCCAAATGGGGGCCTGGCCTGCCAGCAGTGCCAGAGATATCCCTACGGTGAACAAATGTGCTTCCCTCTGTCTCCCGCCCCCCCCTCCCCCGCTCTGCTGTCGTGTGTCCTGGCCTGGAACCGCGCTCTGAGGTTCTCTGAGCACAATGGAACTCTTGGGAGGGCCACGGTGGACCCAGGACAGGGACCGGGGATCAGCCCCATTGGAGTGTGGGTTTTTGGGAGAAATAGCTGTTAGTGAGGGGAGCGGGAGGTAGTCCCACCTCTACCAGTTCCTGCCTGCTGTGGGAGGGCCCCTCTTCCTCTGTCCTTGGCTTTCAGCTCCGTCTTCTCTTCCAGCCTTGGTCATCTCCCTGCAAGGAATTCTGGGAGCCTGGGCTCCTGGGCCTGAGGGAGGAGGGGTTGGGGGCCTGGACTCCTGGGTCTGAGGGAGGAGGGGGCTGGGGGTCTGGACTCCTGGATCTGAGGGAGGAGGGGCTGGGGTCTAGACTCCTGGGTATGAGGGAGGAGGGGCTGGGGGCCTGGACTCCTGGGTCCGAGGGAGGAGGGGCTGGGGGCCTGGGCTCCTGGGTCTGAGGGAGGAGGAGCCGGAATCCTGACTCAGCAAGGACCCGGGCCTCCTGCCGCCCCCTGTAGGCCAGTTTGGCGCGGGCACCGAGTCCTACTTCTTGCTGCTGCGCTTCCTGCTGTTTCTCAACGTGCTGGCCTCGGTGCTGGGTAGTCAAATACCCAGCTCCTGAGTGGAGCCGGGACTGCCCCGAGCCCCACCCTGGGGTAGAGGAATCACCCTCCCCTCCTGCCCTGGCTCAGCTCCCACCGGGGACCCATCATCCTGACACAGGCAGACACCAGGCAGTGGCCGGCTCCTGGCAACCGCGTCAGCACAGGCCCGCTGTGCTCTGGGGGGAGGGCGGGGTTCCCCTTGCTGGGCCCAGAACTGGCCTTCTTCCCCCAACAGTCAGGGGCAGGCAAAGGCCCAACCTGGAGCTGGCCCTGCACAGCCTGCCTCTCCCGGGATCTGGGGGAGTGAGGGCTTGGCACTTGCAGGGGAGAGCTCCCGGACAGGGGGGACGAGATCCAGGGGCAGGGAGAAGGGGGGGACTTAGAGACAGGAAAACACAGAGAAACAGTGAATGAGAA